AGCCAAATCACTCAATTTTTTTTAGAATGAAGCTAGAACTGTCAGCTGTCAAATGAGATAGCAATAACATAGATGCAAATGACTCTAGTATTCCAAAAATTACCTAGTTCCATCTATTGCAAACAAGCTTCACAACTTTTCAACAATCCAATGTTTAAAACTTGCAAGTTTAGCACATTCATCTGTGATAAGATCTGAGAGGCTTGTTTGAAACAAATTTATTGCTAAGCCTGGCTGTGTATTGCAAATATTCATTCATGTTTCAATTGTTCTGTTGCCTCCAACTTGATTCTAAAGTGAAATGTGCTCACTGATCCTTGGCTTCCCAACAATAGAGAAACAAGAAGCGATCACCTCCTTTCCTTCCTACTTACCCACCAAACCATGAAAACTTCACAACAAACATCGCTCAGACAAATATCAAATAAGCTTCTGACTTTTATAAACTCTCTAGTGTGTATTGATACCAAATGATAATAGCAGCAAAATCGTATTTATTTACAATGTAACTCTATGTCAAATGATTAAAAGTTCTAGGAATGGAGAATCCATGGGTCCTCTAAATTCAAATATTAGGCCATGTTGTTGTCATGCGTGTTTGTATATTGTTTGGTGCAATACTACAATTCTCATTAGAGTCATCATGAAGAGAAAAATCTGCCCCCAAATACTGTTTTATCAATGAAATTAATAAAAACTACTAACAGTATAAGTGTTTTCCAAAATAAAAATATTTTCTCTGGACTTGGAAAAAATAAAGATTCTTTTCCATTTTATCCTGAGAATTAATCTAGTGAAGGAGTGTATGTCAAATTATCAAATTAAAAAAATTTGTTTTGTTTGACCACCTCTTAAAGATACCTAAATGAAAAAAATATGAGTTAATCTATGGTACACTGTCCTCAGACTCTTTTTGGTTCCTCTATAGAAATCCCCAAGGTCACGTACCATATAAAACCACAGAATCAGTACGGAGGTTCCCACATCTTTCCTATTCTTTCTCCCTTCTGCATCCGTGACCATGGGATCCTCTGATGGTGACCACCACGCATTCCAACCTAGGCAATATACTCTGTTTGAATCTTGAATATTGCAGTCCAAAGAACGCCTCTCCAATAAGATATACCTACTATTCCAAATTTCCAACTTTTCAAACTACTAGAAAAACAAAGCAAATCAAGCTTTGAGAACCAGGGGAGTTCATATATGTATATAATTTTTAAACTATAGTCACCATGCGTACATTACATCCCCAGAATTTATTTATCTTGTAACTGTAATTTTTTTTTTACCACTTTCACCCATTTCTCCCAATCCCCAGACCCCACCTCTGGAAACCACCAATGTGTTCTCTGTATTTATGAGGTTTATTTTTTCTTTTTAGGTTCCACATTTAAGTGAGATCATACACTATTTGTCTTTCTCTGTCTGACTTATTTCACTTAGCATAATGACATCAAGGTCCATCCATGGTTAAAAATGGCAGGATTTCTTTCTTTTTATGGTTGAGTAATATTCCATTAGATATATGTACATATATATTTTTATAACTACATGTATATATATATTTTTTTTACCTCTTCAGATTTATTGACATTTGAATATGACGTGATCACTTTAAAAAAATTTATGGGCAATTTAGTTGAGGCAAATTCTTGCAAATCACTGACTTTGTATATACTTTAATGTCAAATACATAGTTTAATGTTGTAATTCTCAATCTACCATAAATCCTCTTTGTCACACAAAAATCCAAAGTATTGCATTATAGTTTATCAATTTCATTCCTATTTCTTTCTCCTTATATTCTTTTGTTAATTATTTTTATTATGAAATACACATTTTTTAGAATTAGTTTCAGCTGTTCTTTATATATTTTGAATATTAACCCCTTATCAGGTATATGATTTCCAAATATTTCTGCCCATTTTTTGTTTATAGCGTTCACAAATGCATCCTACCTAACTATCTTAGTTTTAATTTCGTAGTGGGAGATATATGCATGTTAAAAATTCCCCTTCTATTACCAATTCTCTATGAATTTTTATTTCTAACTATCAAACTACTTAATGGTTATATATCTATTTAGTTTTTCTTTTTCTTCTCGAGTTACTTTTGGTAATGTATATTGTTCTATTAAATGGTGCCTTTTCCTAAGGGTTTTAAAATTTATTTGTTTAAGGGTTAGTAACTTTTTCTTAATAAATTTTAAATTACTACTTTAACTTATTATGTTTGCTTTTTAATCTTTCTTGTGATTTCTTTTTTAAGATTTTTTTTATTGGGGAATTGGGGGATGGGAACAGCGCTGGGGAATTCGGGGAAGGGGAACAGACAAGTTGCTGTCTTTTTGTTCTTCAGTCTAGCTGTGGGGGACGTTGCTTCACTGGCCCAAGTTGGCACCATCATTGCGCACTTCCCATGTGAGGCAGATCAGTCACCGGCCACCAGATGGCCGCTCACGCTGGCTTCTGGCTACATACGGTAGCCCATGGCAACCCACTGCCACAGGGGCTGCAGCCTATGCCGCCGCCGTCACCAGCGACTCACGGCAGCCCAGCTCCAGGTTGAGCTGCTGTTCACCATCTTAGCTGTGGAGGGCAGTGTCACTGGCCCTCATATGTGGGATCCGAACCGGGGCTCTCTGGCTTCTGAAGCCAGCTCTTAACCAACGCGCCACTCGGCCGGCCCTCTTGTGGTTGTTTTTAATAGTTTCCTGTCAAATTACCAGCAACTTGGTAGCTTAAAACAATACAAATTTATTCTCTTACAATTCTGAAGGGCAGAAGTCCAAAATCAGTTTCACAGTGATAAAATCAAGGTGCCAACTGGTCCGTTTCCTCAGAAGGCTGCAGGGAATAGCCTGTTTTCTTGCCTTTTCCAGCCTCTAGAGTCTGTCCTAACTTTCCCATCACATGGCCTTTTATCCCCCTGGTTCTCTCATCACATTGTCTTCTCTCCTCTGACTCTAATGCCTCCCTCTAATGAGGACCCTTCTGATGACGCTGGGCCCACCTGGATATTCCAGAATAATCTCTCCATGTCCAGATCCTTCAGTAATCATATCTGCAAAGTTTCTTTTGCCATATAAGATGCTATATTCACATATTCCAGAATTAGGACATGGTCATCTTTGAGAGTCATTATTTAGTCTACTATATTGAGTATTTTCTATTGTATTTTCAAATATTGGTCTATTTTACAGCTCATCAAAAATAGCATTGGATTTCCCCACCTATTGCCTTGTTTTTGTTCCTGTTTGATTAATTTTGTACTTTATATTTATTAAAGTATAATTATACAGTGTAATAAATGGGTCATAAGTGTAGAGTTAGGGGAGTTTGAAAATTGCAGATTTATAAGCCACACCCCTTTCAAGCTCTATTTCTTTCACTCTATCAAAATCCCTTGTGCCTACCACAAAAATTCCCAGCCCACAGAGACAATTGTTCTGCATTATTTCACTATAGTTTGCCTATTTTAGAAGTTCATGTGAATGTAATGAAACAGTATGTTTTATATCTGCAATTTTACTGAGTTTCATGTTATTGAGGTTCATCCATGCTGTTATGGGTATCGGCGATTCTAGCTAACATTCCAGTGCTCGCGTGTGTGTGTGTGTGTGTGTGTGTGTGTGTTTGGGGGGAGGGGGAGTGCATGTGTTGTGTGTGTGTGTGGTGCTATTTAATATGTTGTGTGTATACATTTTCTCTAATTTATTGCTATTATGAATAAAGCTGCTATAAACGTTTAAAAAACGTTTTGTGGGCCAGCTGAGTGGCGCGTTGGTTGAGTTGGGTTGGGACACCAGCTCTGAGCATCAGGTCCCCGGTTCGGATCCTGCATGAGGGCCAGTGACACTGCGCCCTCTACAGCTAAGATGGTGAACAACAGCTCGACCTAGAGCTGGGCTGCGGTGAAAACTGGCGACGGCATAGGCGGCAGTGGCGCTGGCCAGCAGTAGGCATGAGGTTTCGTCAGTTGCCGTGAGCTGCTGTGAGTGGCTGTCCAAAGGCCAGCGACCAATCTGCCTCACTGCATAAGAGCACAATGATAATAACAATCTGGGCCAGTGAAACGATGTCCTCCACAACTAGACTGAAGAACAAAAGGACAGAAAATTCTCTGTTCCCCTTCCCCGAATCCCCAACGTTGTATCCCTCCTCCAATTCCCCAATAAAATCTTTTAAAAACAAAATCTTTTTTGTGGACATATGTTTTCATTTCCCTTGGGTAAATGCTTAGAAGTAGAAACACTGGATAGTGGTAGATATGTGTTTAATTCTATGAGAAACTGCTGAAGGGATTGCCCAGTTTGTTACACATTGCTGTCATCCTACAATAGCATAATTGACCCTTTTAGGGAGGGTGCAGCTCACAGTGGCCCATGTGGGGATCAAACCTGCAACCATAGTGTTATCAGTACCATGCTCTAAGCAACTGAGCTACCCAGTCATCCTCATGCTTACCTTTTTTTTTGAAATAATTTAGACTCACATAAAAGTTGTAAAAACATTACAATGTTCCCTTGTACCCTTCACCCAACTTTCTCCAATGATAACATCTATGATCCAATGATCATGGTAGAATGATCAAAACTATGAAATTAATACAATGTTATTTAACTACACATATTACTCTGAGTCAGTTTTTACATCACTTCTTTTCATGCCTAGCTCTGTGAAATTTTATCACATGTACAGTTTCATGTAGCCATCACTACCATCAAAATACTGTTCCTTCACCCTAACGAAACTCCCTTTGCACACTTTCCCCATTTTTACAACCCCTGGTAACCTCTGGCAATCACTGCTGGTTTTTCCATCCCTATAATTTTGTTCTTTTGAGAATGTTGTGTGTGTGGAAACATACATTATGCATGGAATCATAATAATCTAATAAGTGTAATCATACATATGTAGCCTTCTGAAATTGATTTTTTTAGCCAGCATCATAGCCTTGAGATCCATCCATATTGTTGCATGTATTAACAACTCATTTCTTTTTATTACTAAATAGTATTCCATTATATGAATGTTCTACAATTCACTCCATTCATCCAACTAAGAACATTTGGGTGGTTTCCAGCTTTTGAACACCATGAGTACAGTGGTCATGAATTTATTATAGCACATTCACGCATTCATTTGCTATAGTTGCTGTAACAAACTATTACAAATTACATAGAAAGCTTAAATAACAGCAACTTATTGTCTCATATTTCTGAAAGCTTCAAGTCCAAGATCAATGTATTAGGAAAGATGATTTCTTCTGAGGGCAATGAGAAAGACTCTGTTCCATTCCTCTTACTCAGCGTCTGATGGTTTGGTAGCAATATTTTGTGTTCCTTGGTAGTAGAAACATTACTCCAGTCTCTGCTTTCATCTTCATATGAATGTCTCCCTGTGTGTCTGTCTCTGTGTCTAAATTTCCTCTTTTTATAAGGACATCAGTCATATTGGATTAGGGCCCAATGTAATGAACTAGTCAATATTTGCAATGACTCTATTTCCAAAGAAGTTCACATTCTCTAGGATTTCAACATATAAACTGGGGTGGAAGAGGCACAATTCTACCCATAACAGCATCCATAGGAAACGATATCAAATATATTCTCTAAAATGTTCCATTTTCAACAAAAAATATGAGATAGGAGAAGAAACAGAAATTGTAATGCTTTCACAGTACAACATTGGGCAATAGAGACTGCTATTAAAAAGGTTCAGAGGTTGGTCTTAGCAGTGAAAGAACTCAAAGTACCAAGATTAAATATCTTTTTAAAAACTAATGGAAATCATGCTTAAACAAAATATGCTGACAGTATCTCATCAAATAGAAAATACCAATAAAGAGGTACAAATTGTTTTTAAAACGAAGAAAACGAAAATTCTGGTTAGAAAATACAATAACCAAAATGAAAAATTCACTAAAGAGGTTCAGTTGTAGATCAGACCTCTCCAAATAAGGAATCAGTGAATTTGAAGGTAGATCTGCAAAGATTATACAATCTGTGAAAAGGAGGGAAAAAAGAATGAAGTCAAATGAACACAGACATAGAGAAACATGGGACATCATTAAGAACACCAACATGTGCTTAATGGTAGTACCAGAAGGAGAGGAGAGAGAAAGTAACACAAAAAAAATATTTTAAGAAATAATGGCTGAGAACTATCCCAAATTGCCAAAAAATAATCTATTCATTTCAGAAGCACAACAAGTCTATGTGGGATAAATTCAAAGAGATTCACACTCAGACACATAGTAAAAATATTGAAAGATAAACAGAAAATCCTAAAAGCAAAGAGAAAAACAAATCTTTACATACAAAGTGTTTCTAATAAAACTAAAAACTGACTTCTCTTCTCAACCAAAAACAATGGAGCCAGAAGGCAGCGGGAAGATATATTTGAAGTAAAATACAAACAGAAGAAAATACCATTAATGAAAAATCTTATATTTGATAAAAGTATCTTTGAAGAATTAAAGTAATAAAAGACAGTCCCAGATAAATACAAGAAGAGCATTCATTGCTCTCAGATCTGCTTTACAAGAAATAATAAAGAATTTTCTTCTGGCTAAAAGCAAATGGCCCCAGAGAGGAATGTGCATCCTTTCAAAGACACAAAAGTACATCATTAAGGTAATTTTTAGGTAATTATAAAATACAGTGTAATTGCATATTTATTCTCCCTTCTCTTAACTGAACTAAAGGGCATTTATATAAAATGAATTTACATGTATTTTGGTAAATACATGAAGCAAAAATGGACAGAATTGAAGGGAGAGACAGATAATTCAATGATAATAGTTGGAGACTTCAATATGTCACTTTCAATACCAGAACACTAGACAGAATATCAACAAGGAAACAGAAACGTTGAACAACACTATAAAACAAGTAGATGTAACAGACACCCACCCTACAGTAAGAGGACACACATTCTTCTCAAGCATGGAGGGAACATTCTCCAGGAAAGACGATATCCTAGGACATCAAATGAACTTGAGAACATGAATGGCAATCAGTTGAATGGAATATTCATTTTCAAGCTTTTCCAGGGATTTTTCAATATATAAACATTCAGCAATTTTTGTTTGTTTGCTGTGCCGCACTAGTAGTATGGGATAGAAGTATCTGCAGTTGTCTTGGGACACATTGTGGTGAGGCTGACGTGAACATTCTGGAGACACCCACTAAGCTGCATATTGTGTAATAACATCTTTGTTGGAGTAATTTTTCTGTTCTTTTCATGCCTCTCACATTTTACTCTTTTGGAGTCCAGTATATTGTGGCTTAAATATTTATATTAGTTCTGTCCTCTTATCAGCTAATCTGTCAGTTCTAATCGAGAAGTCCAGGAAGAGGAGTAGACTGAGAAGGAAAGATCAAGACCAGAGCCCCCAACCTGTAAGACCCAAAAGTATCTGTGGTTAAAACCCTACCAGTAAATTAAGTAAATAAATAAATATAAAAAATAAAACCCTACCAGTGTGGGTTAGGAATGTTAAGCTGTGTAAATGCTGCGTGGTGATTTTGTGATGTGATTGTGGTTGGAAGAGGAGCTGAGCCCAGCTGAGGGTTTGTGTACAGGCTGCAGGTGTCTGGGGAGCACTGTGCCTCCACAGCACACAAATAAATAGCTGAGTCTGTGGTCTGGAGAGAGGAAATAGACAACACGCTGCTGCGTTCTCCAGGGTCTGTAGTAGCGGTTAATCTTTCATTCACCTTTTTCCCTGAAGGAATGTAAAATAGGCGGATGAGAGCGCCCCCAGGATTTTGGCGAAACCACTGCACATTGTTCACAGAAGTGGAAAATTTGCACTGCAGCGTGGAACTGTTTCCCTCCTGGAGACTCAGGGCTGGGGGACTCTGCTCCACCTGCACCCCTCTCACACCTGATGAGAGACAGAGAAACCGTCACAGGTGATGGTCACTATCACACCCACAAAACCCAGAAAAGGCCCTCATAAATTAGGAAAAGGATAGAAAGTCTACAAGGTTAAGCTGCGACTTTTCCTCCCTCCTTCAATAATACTCCTTTCAGATGCCCATGTAGGACAGCCCAACTTACAGCAAATCTGGGTGCACAAAAGCCCCAGCACAGTGCCCAACAGCTTCTTCATGATGGTTTGCTTTGTTGCTCGGGATATTATCGCCCTAAGGTATGTTTAACTATACCCTGGGATGGTGAGTGGCATGACTTGGTTCTGGAACTGTGGCTACTTCTGCAACCAATCAGCCTCACCCAACAAACCCTGCAGGGCTGTGACAGGAAGCCCCACCCTCCAGCCTCACCCTTACACGGAATGTGCTGGAGAGAGGTGGAAAGAGGGGGGCGGGTGTGGGGGAGGAGAAAGGTTGCTATTCTAATATTTGGGGGACATTTTCTTATAATCCTGGATGTAGTAGAGTGTGAGAAAGAAAGGGAGAGGCCTCCTCTCTTATCTATGTGAATTACAGTTTGGGGGATCATAGAAATAACATCCACATATTTTTAATCCAAATAACTTTGCTAGTGTTCTAACAAAAGGATCTTTACTAACCTATGAATTAATAATATGAATCATTGCAGTCATAGAAAGTAGTAAGAACAAAAGTGTTATGTATTATCTACTTCATGAATTCCTATTATTGGAATACATGAAATATACGGGACTTTCCTGGAATAACCAAGACTTGTAAATATTGTTAAAAGAAATGAACTTAATAAGACTGTAGATTGTGGGAAGAAAATTAGGATCAATATGCACATTAATTCTATATAGTATTTTCCTTGTTGTTGTGTAATGTTTTGTTTTTCTAATTCTTATCTGTAATATTGTCCTGTGGTTCAGGCTTGCAGTTCAGTTAAATTGTTTTCTCCTGAGTCCCACTTACTTCCTTTCTCTGCCCTCATTTTGGTTTCTAGTTACAGGAAAGAGACAGAAAGAATATTAAAGAAAAGGTGGCATTCAAAGGTTTGGAAATAATTTTAAAACCGTGAAATAGAAGTTCATATCTTCCCCTGATATCTAAAAATTTTAGGCAATAAAAATAAATATAAAATCAGAACAATGTGATATCTATACTTTGGAATTCTCCATCTTCCCTTTTGTTTTATATGAATCTGTTTGATCCAGGAGTCTTTTCTGATCGATAAAGATAATGACATAAAGATAACGATAACAATGTAAATATAGATATATGCATTACAGCTATCAACTTCTAGTACTTGAATCAATAAATAAGGCAAAGCTATTAATTGAAAAGAATATTCAGCAAGAAGCATGTTTCTTATGTGCTGATAATGATTCCATTTTTCTTCACACACAATTTTGTTTCTCTCTTTACTATTACTAGGCCCCATTTGCACACTCAGAATTTCTCAAATCTTTCAGTGACTGTTTACAACTAGGTCCCTCACAGTAGTCCTTGGTGTAAGAAAAGCCTAAAGTGCCTCCTAATTGACTCACACCTTAAGAAAGGAGCAGGTATGGATGGCTCAGCCCAGCCTTCCTCTCTAGGGCTGTACCTGTGGATTGATTTGAAGCTCCAAAAGTGTCCACAAGGACAGAGATTACCAGACATAGGACAACGCTACCGCATAGTGCCTTTTTATGAAAACAAATTCTTTTATAGAATGTAATTTTCTGTAATGATAGGAAAACAATCCATTTAATTCTTACCTATGAACTTTTAAAGAATGAGCCCCTCAATGTGATTTAATCCAGTTGAGTCATTATATTTAAGAGTATTCTAGACCTGGGAAAGAACAAAAATAAATTAAACACTGTATCTTCCTCCAGAAAGCTTGTGATATAGTGGGGGAAAGAAACATCTCTGTAAATGTAATAAAGGCCTAAAGGACACCAGAATAAAAGCATGTCATACATACTACATGAACGACAGTAACAATTACTTCAGGCCTGTATGACGGGCGACAGTTCAATGGAAGATGTGATACTGCCTGCCTTCTATGCAGGTGACAAGAGAGGAAAATAACAAAAGCAAAGAGGAGTGATCTTGGGAAGGTGACCTTTGTTTTAAACGCAAGGAACAGAGAAGATGAGCAAGTATGTGGACAGGGCCACTGACAACAAGCACACACACAGCACGTGGACTAAAGAACACAGGGCGTAGGGGCCGGCTGAGTGGCTCAGTTGGTTAAGAGCTCGCTCAAGAGTTTGAGCTCTGAGCAACAGCGGTTCGAGTCAGCCCGAGCTGAGCAGCCGTGAGCTGCCAACAGGTGGCAGGATGGCTCAGCTAAAAAAAAAAAAAAAGAACACAGGGCGTGTCTGTCACCTGAATCTGGGCACTGTGTAACCTTAAACAGCTAACACCGCCCAGGCTCAAGGGAAATGCTTCTTTACACCTTAACATCTGCCCTTGAAACTGCATTTGCATATCAGAAACATTTGTGAGTTGTACTGCTACTGACATAGAAGGCAAACTCTGATTAGGAATTTGGGGGTATTTGAGGGAAGAGAAAAGAAAATATAATGAACTAGACCAATCTTTCCTCTCAGATGGTATGGATGCAATAGATTCTTCCATAATAAATACTGTTTCCCAGGGTGCTGCGGGTCCATTTTCTTGCATCTCTTATGTACTCATATTTGGTTCTGAAGGGCGCACGTCAGTCAGCATAGTATTCGCAACAGTTGTTCATGATGGCTGGAACACTTTGTAGTATTAAACAATATCACTTTTAAATTGTACATATTTATTCTAGCCTGAGCCCACATAAAAAGTGATATTATTTAGCAACTAGAAGGCCACTGAAACAAGAACTATAATAGTGAAATGCTGGAACTCTCTGGCTCCCTCTGGTTCAAGCTTGTATTGTGCCCATGGCCATCAGGCTAATAGACCCTGCTTAGTCTTGTATATAGACATGCTAATCAGTAGAGGAATTCTGCTGGCAGCTGGAGTTTTACAAAAACAGCCCCTCCCATGTCCCCTTCACTGGACATAAAAGAAGCCTTAAAGGCTGGACTTTGGTAAGATGGATTTGAGGAACCACTAAGGCTTCCATCTTCTCAGTTGGCACCTTATGGATCTATAAACCTTTCCTTACTAGAAACTCTGACATTTTCCGTTTTGGCCTTTCAAAGTTGGGCACACAGACTTTGCACTGGTCACTTTGTGAATAGTTTTATTTTTAAAAAAATATTTGTAATTAAGTTTTAAGATAAATTTAATATAAAACTTAATTTTAAATATATTTTAATTAAAACAGTGGATCGTTAATTTTTATTTGTATTCTGCTTTTTAGCTTTAGTAGATTACTTTCAAATTACTTTAAAACATTTTTGGAAAAACATAAAAACAATTTTAGTTTGTGCTATTGTCTCAGACACTATCAGTAATTATCCTCTGTAGATGGATTTGGAGGTAAAGGCGATGAAAATGAGAAACTCTCTATTTTCACTGATGTATATAGAAAAGGAAGTGATCTGCAGACACTGAAGAACAGATGAACTGTTCAAGGATGTTGCAAATGTTTACCAATGGCACTGTAAGAAATAGCGTAGAAAAATAAGTAAAGCTGATTCAGGAATCACTAATTATTATGGGCACTTGGTGAATATTAGAGAAATTGAATTAGAAGAGAGAAAAAGAGGAGAGAGTCTGGATGGGTCTGATAAAGGATGGGTCGGTCACTCATACAACAACCAACCCCAGGGTTCCATGTGGAAATTTTGGCATCCTATTGCATGTAATTTAGAATGACTGTTACTGAGAACCACTGGATATTTCCTTCATACTATATTGTCTTTGGTAAGGTCACCTTGTTAGGTCACACTTTCATAAATGCCAGGTTTTATTAAGTCCACCAATCTCAAATACTTGAGTGAAAAAGCTGAAGTCCTTTGAGTAAAGAAGCCTCTCAGGTTACCAGTAAAACAGTCTGGAGATAAAATAGTTTGAAATAAGCAATTGCCCTGGGTGTTCTCCTTGCTTGGGAGATGAGCTGAATATACTGGAAAGCAATCCCCTGACTGGCCTTATACCGACTCACATGGCCAACCTCAAGCCACCTTAGCTCATCACTATCTCAAATGACATGGGAGCAAGTAACTTCCTCCAGCTTGTTGAAAATCTTGTGGTCTCACTACCTCTAGAATCTTGACCCTAGAGGATACAAATTCTGCACTTCACAAAACAGGACTTTCCTGTGAAAAATGGAAAGGGGAAAAAAACAACAACTAAGATTTCCTTGGAACTAAACACTTCCTAGGATTCTGTATTCTCTGTATTGTTTGCCTGCATAGAACATGCCAGCTTCCTGGAAATAACCCAGGCTGATCCAGAGTCTTTCAAGCTGGAATGTCTCTGGAGGTTTGTGTTAAGCTCCCCTACAATCTCAGCCAGTGAGTCACTCACAGCACAAAAGTATTCAGCCAAGTCACTCCGATAGGCTGAAGGCTTTGTGAGCTGGAAGGTTTCATTCTTTCTAAATTCAGCCTCAAATCCTCTGATGCCTGAAACAGGGGGGTTGCCAGATGTGTACATCAGAAGCTGGAGTCCTTGGTTGGGGTATTGCACGTACCAGAAGAGATATGATAAAAATGAAGAAAAATAGTTGCACCTCAGCTCCAGAGGGGTCCTTCAGAGATGGTGATGTGGCCATCAGGTTGGGTCACCGACTGGGTTCCTGATCCTCCTGAAACATCAATACTATGTCAAGAACTCAGCGAAGAGAAAAAGTCTCTATTCAGAGTCAAATCAGAACAATGTTCTATTTGTGGACAAAGGAGAGTAAAATGGACAGTTACTCACTCAGGAACAGGTGCTCCCCAAGCATCAAGGTGAGCATTAAGGTTGGCCCAACAGGGAAGAAGCAATCCTCTCCTTTCTGAGCGATGCCCCACAAACAAATAAACAAAAATCTGATGACTGGGGGACTTGAACCCAGGTTGCTGAGGTTGAAGGGGAAATGACAGGGGATTTAAATATCTTCTTCTCAGAGACGTTGTAGGGACTGTTAGGAAGAGATGCTCTCTTGAGAAAACTGCCTCCCTCTTGCATCTAAGATTCTTTATATGTCATTATCTAAAAACTGCCATCAGAACATCTCTATTAACTGTAGGGAAGCAATGTTTTTGTGAGCTTATAATGATCCATTAAAGAAAAGCCATTTCCAATTTAGGCAACGGTGCACTCTAGGGGCCAATAGAAAACTAAGGAGATATTCACAAATTTTGTGGATTTACCCCACCAGATTCCTGCCTTCCTATGGTTGATTTAAAGTATTATGGTTGATTTAAAGCATTATGATTATGTACAGAGGAGGATTTGTG